CTCAGCAGTGTACTTCGTCGATCTGCCTGTTCTGCTCCCCGCTCTGTCTCTGGTGAAGCCTCTCGCCGCCCCTGCACCTCTGACCTGTACCCCAATCTATATGCATAAATAAATAAATCTTTAAAAAAAATAAAAAAAAAAAAGAAAGTTTTTTTGGGGTGCCTCTTGGTGGCACAGGGGGTTGAGTCTCAGCACTATGAAGCTGTTGGTAGTCACTGCAACACAAATTCAAACCCCACCCAGGTTGCTGACCCACATGGCCCAGAGATCTCTCCTATCTGGCCTGCTGTTCCCTTCAGCAGTGTATTGCAGTAGATCTACCTGATCCACTCCCCACCTGTCTCTGGTGAATCCTCTCATCCCACCCCCACCCCCACCCCTGTACCTTTGGCCTACACCCCAGTTTTGGGATGCATAAATAAATCTTAAAAAATAAAGTTTTGGGGAACAAGGCCTATAGTAATAAAAAGTTAGTTTGTTGACAACTAGTAGATTATGCTGAACTATCTTAACCTCATTGGTGAAACTGTTAGGGTATTTAGGACTGAAACTGTTATGATATAAAAATCTCTAGACATCTAGAGATTGAAAAATCATCAGTGAATAGGCACTGTTGAAATTTTTCTAGCACTTCATGGCAAAAAATTTACCTCTACATATTCTGCTATTAAATCTATGTTGTCCTGTGTACTTTTCTTACAACAAAGTAATTAAATTCATCAAATTGTTACTAAATCAATTCAAGATATTTATTGAACATTTTCCCTTGCCCATTGCTCTTAGTGCACTAGACAGTAATATGATATATAAACAGATATTGTTTCTTTACTCAAGCTTATATATAATTTGAAAATAGCAATTTATGTAAGTAACTCTAAAAGCAAAAAATAAATGTCATCAGAGGGATAGCAATGTGATCTGGAAGTAGGGAGTATTCTCAGTATAGACACTGAAGATTGGTTTTATGGAGGGAGACTTTTGAGCTGTTTATAAATGACAAACATTTAGTAGATAAAGGAGTCAGGAAAGGGCATTCCAGAAAGAGGGAATGGACTGAATGTGTCAAGGATACAGACCTGTAAAAAAGAATGCAATGTTGGAGATAAAAATGCTTTGATATAGCAATAGGGTAAACTTCATGTGAGTGGGAGAAGAGAATGGAAAGGTAGGCTTGACCTAGATTTTGAAAACATCCAATGGAATGTTGTGGAATTCAAAATTTTTTTCTGCCTATAAACTAGTAGATGATATGTCAATTTTAGAGTGTAAAGCTTTTATAGGGAAGAGTAATTTGGTCAAATTTTATTTCTACTTTATATAGGAAAAGGACATAATTTTATGATATTAGCTTGATTTATAATACAAAGCTGATTATAATTATTTGATTTTATTTCCATTAGATAACGATATATTTAGTTCCTCTGAAGATATTGTTGTCGCCCCAATCACCCATGTATCCGTCACATTAGATGGGATTCCTGAAGTGGTGGAAACTCAGCAGGTTCAAGAGACATACGCACATTCACCAGGAGCCTCTTCACCAGAACAGCCTAAGAGAAAGAAAGGTAGGTGGTTAGTTTGTTTAGGGCTAGTAGCCTAGTCTTATGTGGAATTCAAATATAATTTTAATTCAAGGATATTTCTACACCAATGTATATTAGACTTATATATAAGGAACTGAAGGCACAAAACCTGAAATGAGGGATTTCTTCATATTAGATTCACTTTTAAAACTAGATTGTATACATTTAAAAGTTTTGATCTGTTTCACAGAAGAAAGCTTTTGCAACTTTTAAAGGCTCAACCTCTTATCTAAGGTAAGAGTAAACTTAGGGGGAAGAGCAGATCTGCTTCTTCCCACAAGACATAGTTTGAAAACCACCAGCATGTATTCCAGTTGGAGAAATACACTGAGCTGGAAATCAGCGGGTAACTAATAAAAGAGGAAAATGTTAGACTGCATTACAAGGAAACTTTTAGCTTTTCACAAATTTTAGGACCATTATTTGCATTCTATACTGTGACAGTCTTCATTTCATAATTTTGTTACAGGGCACCCTTGCTATGAAATGGGTTGCCACAAAGCCTGTATCTGTAGAGTTTATTCAGACATCCTTTCTGCCTAACAGTCTGATGATTCTACTCCAGATTCTTTAATATTTTGAGGTTTTTGTCTTGGTTAATTGTTCCACTAGCTACCCAGTGACTTAAGTTCATGTACAAGTCAGGGAAATTCCGAGAGCCAAAAATGAGCTAACATTGCAGTCGCCTAGGAGGGCAAAGAAGGATATGTCCATTTTTGATAACCAACGGGCTTGGGTTTTTGCCCATGTACAGGCATTGTTGTACACATACATCACCTTGTAATTGGGACCCTTTCAAGGTTATACCCTCAGGGGAAAAATAGTCTACCTATTAGTACTGACAGCTATCAAGGAGGCTTGTATTTCTCATCTGAGATTTGTGAATGGAAAAATTCTTCATTTGGCATTTAACTATCCTGGGCTTGCCTTCACCTAAGTTTACAAATTAGATTTTAAGCTGTCACTGACTTTAGGAATTTCTGGTCAAGTAATTAGCATAAAAGTGTTGGTTAGCTGTAATTTGGGTGTACCAGGCAGAAGTTCTTGTGAAATTATTCTTGTCCTAAAATTTATCAAACTAGAATTCACCCTTGTAATTTAGACCACAGGAAGAGTGAACCTCAAGAATGTTGGGGTGAGAGGTATTAAAAAGAATCCATTTATGTCCAGTCTTCATTGTTTCTGATATATAGCCAACATGGTTATCTCAACCTAAATTACAGTACATTGCCACTGGCATGTAATTCTAGTTAAGTGGCAAAAACAGATCACAAACAATGCTTTAATATGTTGGCTGACCCAGAAGAAAGCTGCCAATAATACAGTTTAATAATGTTAGAGTAGACTTGTTTAGACATTGGATGATGGATAACCATAAAATGTTTGCTGTGAATCAAAAGAAATACAGGAAAATGATACATTTTAAAACACAAAGAAAAAAAATTGAGTAAGTGGCTCACAAAAATTTTGCATCCTTTATTTTCTATATCTCCAGAATTTGGAGACTTTTTCATTATTTGAAAACTAACTATAAGCGGAAAAGATACTTATTAGATAGAAAAGTTAATACTTACTTTTTCACTTATATAACCAAAAGGTAGACAAATCTATGTCTACCTGCTTAAATTTTGAGTAAAAAACTTTGTCAGCAAAAAGAATATTTCCCCTGGGCCCTCCCTGGTGGCACAGCAGGTTAAAGTACAGCACTATGCAGCTATCTGTAGTACTAGTTCGATCCCCAGCCAGGGAGGTGATCCACAGTCACGGCAGACCTCTCCTGTCCCACCTGCTGCTCCCTTCAGCAATGTATTTTAGTCAGTCCAGTTATTCTACTCCCCACTCTGTCTCTGCTGAATCCTATCATGCCCCCACACCTCTGACCTGTACTCCAGTTCTTATATGCATAGATAAATAAATCTTTAAAAAAATTTCCCCAAATTTTAAGAAAACATTATCATTATTGTCATCTTAAAGATAAGATAATAATATTTTAAACTCATTTTCATTTTCACAAATAATCTGAAGTATCATTTCCTACATAAATATGTTTATGATCTCACCTACATAAATGTTAAGTTTTTCCTGAAGTTAATTTTAAGTATTTATCATTTTAGGAGAAGAATATTTGTGATCCATGTACAAAGTATTCTATGTGAAACTTAGGGTAAATGGGAGAAAAACACATTTATAAACAATTAAATTGTTCATTCTCTCTCACCTTTGAGGGCACCTATTTATGTAGAAGTATTTTGATTCCAAGGAGAGGGCAAGTATTTATGGGGAAGTTTTTTGATTTCAGGGAGAAAATCTAAACCACCACGACCAGATTCCCCAGCCACTACCCCGAACATATCTGTGAAGAAGAAAAACAAAGATGGGAAGGGTAAGTGCTACTGTAATTTTTCTATATTGCTTACACATCAAATGACATTTAGATTGCTTTAAAATCTGCATATTGTAAGTGATGCCACCAACTTTCTTGACATGTAATGGCTCTTATTGCTGCCATGTACTTATAAGATACTTTCCATAAAGAGACTGGTGATGAATGATGTGAAAGTAACCCATGAAGTCTAAGAGATTTTCACTTACCTGTCAAAATAATCCATTCTTTTGTTAATAGTGAGTCTTGGAAGAATTCAGGGCAGTTAAGGTTTTTAGTTCAAAGACATATTAATTGCCTTGGAATTCTAGTATTTTGATAACTGCTGCCCAAATTGAAGAAAATTATTATGACTGATCTACTGGCTCTAATATAAAGAGACAGCTTTTGACAGGTTCTGTATAAATCTTGTTAACTGTTTCTTCTAGATAATGGTTCTTAAAGAGATAGAGATTGTCTCAGAATACTTTCTGCCTAATTCATCACAAATCTAATTGGCTAGATTACTATGCTTGAAATCTTATTTGGAATTAACAAAGAGATCTATATTGGTCCCTAAAAACTGTGACCATTATATAACCAATACTATCTGAATTGTGTAAATTTTTGTGTAAGTGGAACTTGTAAGACTTTTATTTGTGCCTTATTGTGCTCTTTCAAAGAAATTTTAGTCATTTAAAGATAAATTGCTTCTATTTTAGGCAATACAATTTATCTTTGGGAGTTTTTACTTGCACTACTTCAGGACAAAGCAACTTGTCCTAAATATATCAAATGGACCCAACGAGAAAAAGGCATTTTTAAACTGGTAGATTCTAAAGCAGTGTCCAAGTTGTGGGGGAAGCACAAAAACAAACCTGATATGAATTATGAGACCATGGGAAGAGCTTTAAGGTATGTAAAGATTTTGTAGTTTCTTGGTAAGAATGCATTTCCCTAAATACTAAAAAAATGTTAATTACTAAAGATGTAATGAATTAAAGAAATTATTTGGTGATTTTTATTTATTAAAATGCTAAATTACACTATGTAGAAATCAGTACGTATTTAATCAAATCTTATTCTGATTTGGGAAACTTGTTTACATTCTCAAAATTTAATGCAAATGATATTTTATTTATAAAGTAATTACAATGATTAAACTATCATCAGGAATTGTAAATTCACCAGAGAGCTCATATGTTTTGAGTTATTAAACTTAAATTTAGCACAAAGTACAAATAGTCATAGTGTAGGTACTAAATAAAAGGGTGAATTTTTAGATAATGATCTCTAGTATGTGTAATATATTATGATAAAGTAAATTTGAAAATATTAGACACTGTAAAAATTTTGCTCTTAAAAAGTCTGTTTTTCTGTAATCATATTTGTTCTTCAAGATATACATATATTTGAGGTTTTTTAAAAAAATATTTACTTATTTATGCATACAAGAACTGGGGTACAGGCAGAGGTGTGGTGGGTGAGAATATTCACAAGAGAAAGAATGAGAAGCAGAACAGGTAGACTGACTGAAATATACTGCTGAGGGGAGCAGCAAGTAGAACAGGAGAGGTCTGCTGCCCCAAGTGGGTCACTCCTTTGGCCGGGAATCAAACTGATGCTGCATTGGTTTCAGATAGCTTCACAGTGCTGCCTTTAACCCCTTGCACCACCAGGGAGGGCCCATTTTTGAGAGTTATTAGAATTATCAATGATCTGTTAACATGACAATTAGGTTTTTTTTTTAACTCATATTTTGTTGCTTGGGTTAATTCAAATCATTAACAAAATTTACATCACTTATATTTTTTACCTTAAAATTTTTTCTTCAAACTTTATCGGTTTGCCAGTTGCTTACCCAAATATATATAAATTTTGTGAGAAAAATGAATCGGGCCCTCCCTGTTGGCAGAGTGTGTTGGAGCATAGCTCTGGGAAGCTGGCTGCAGCCACTTCAGTGCGACTTTGATTCCTGGCACAGAGGTGATCCACATGGCGCAGCAGACCTCTCCTGTCTGGTCTGCAGCTCCCCTCAGCAATATACTGTTGATCTGCCTGTTCTGCTCCCCACTCTGTCTCTGGTGAAGCCTCTCACTGCCCCTCACCTCTGGCCTGTACCCCAGTTCATGGTGCATAAATAAATAAATCTTTTTTTTTTGTTCATACAAAACTGGGGTACAGGTCAGAGGCTCAGGGGCGGTGAGAGGCTTCACCAGAGACAGAGTGGGGAGCAGAACAGACAGATCGACGAAGTACACAGTTGAGGGGAGCACCGAGAAGGTCAGGAGAGGTCTGCCACGCCATGTGGTCACTTCCGGGGCAAGTGGAAATCGAACTCATGCGGAAGTGGCTTTAGATTCTCAGTGCTGTGCTTTAACCCACTGCGCCACCAGGGAGGGCCAAATAAATAAATCTTAAAAAAATTTCACACTGGTAGGGAAATCATAGAAAGTTATGGAAGAGATAATCTTTGGCAACCTATCAGGAGGCTAGACAAAGTGGGAAAAAATGAAGGGCTCAAATAATCCCTATACTTTATGAAGAATCCTGTAATTAGAATTGGGTTTAGATTGAGTTACTAATAAGGTCTTTTTCTATCTGGTAAATAAATGTATTTTACATATTTATTTAGAAAATACTTCTTAAAATTATGTTATATAAAATGTTGGCCTTCATTTAGAAATTAATTTCTTACTTGTTTGTTTCAACTTTAAACTTTAGTTTATGATTAGGACATTTCTTGTTTTGTTGAATATTATGTGTACTGGAGTAAAATATTGATGAATTGTCTGCTTTGAATAGGTACTATTACCAAAGGGGTATTCTGGCAAAAGTAGAAGGTCAGCGCTTGGTGTATCAGTTTAAGGAAATGCCAAAAGATCTTATTTGTATTGATGATGAGGATCCAAGTTGCAGCATAGAGTCTTCAGACCCATCACTGTCTTCAACAACCACTTCAAGTAGGAACCAAACAAGTCGATCGAGAGTATCTTCAAGCCCAGGGATAAAAGCAGGAACCACTACAGTTCTAAAACCAGGGAATTCTAAGACTACAAAATCCAAAGATCCCGTGGAAGTTGCACAGCCGTCAGAGGTTCTGAGGACAATGCAGTCCACACAGTCCCCATATCCGACCCAGCTCTTCCGGACTATTCATGTGGTACAGCCAGTACAAGCTGTCCCAGAAGGAGAAGCAGCCATAACCAGTAGCATGCAGGACGAAACATTAAACTCTTCCGTTCAGAGTATTAGGTGAGAAAATTATAAGTTACTAATATGTATCACTATGTGATATTTCTGCCCAGTTCCTTTTATTTGTTATGTGGGCCAGCATTTTAGAAGTTAACATTAACAACTATATGGATTTCAAATTAGAACTCTTGTTCAACAGATTGTTTCTGCAGCAATATATGTCAGCCCTGTGATTGTAGCCATGACTTCTTATTGGACATTTCTTGATGTTACTTTATCACTATAAGTGTAGTCCCCCAAAATATACATAACTGGATTGACCTATACAAGAAGGGCTGCATATATAAGGAAGTTCAGAGAGTAGATTAAGATCTTTTTCCAACACCATGTCAGAAGCTATAAAAATTTCATCATAAATGGACATATCATGATCCATTTCAGATGCAATTTCAGATTGCTTTGAGTTCCAAGAAATAACTCAGTTGTGGAGTTTAAAATGGTAAAGAGGCCAAGAATCTAAGTTCCTTTTCTTTTTTTCAGGTTTTTAGAGTTGCAGAAGTTGAAAGAAGAGTTTTTTGGTTTAATCAATTCAAATTGGGCTAACAATCTCAAGAAAAATACAAACAACTTTTGACCAGAAGTTCCTGTCTTTGTAGCTTGATCTTTTGCAGAAATTTGGGACTGGTCTTGCTGATTTAGAATAGGATGAGGGAGGAAGGCATTTGCAGTATTCTAGTTTTCTGCTTCTACTGCCATTAACTTTCAGAACAGGAAATTGAAATATATAGGTGTTCTTCCAAATCCAATAAAAATGACTTACTGTGTTCTTTAGCCAACTTCAAGCTTATATTTGTATATTCCAAAATATAAATGCTAGATTTCTGTTCCATTGATTTTGAAGTACGTAAACATTACTTAGAATTAAGAGAGTGTTAGATTATTACGTCTTTCTTGTATGACCCATTTAAACTTATAACAATGTGAAAATATAATTCTCTTAAATCATTCACTGACATGAAGGAGTACACAGATAACTTCTATTTTATTTAGAGAAAGGTGGTGTGTGTGTGTGTGTGTGTGTGTGTGTGTGTTTTAGTATGTAGAGATGTTGATTTCTTTTTCTATAATATATTATTTTCTTACATTGTGGGTCATCTTTTCTATAGTCACTGTTCTCCGTTAGGTGTGGCACTCTCACCAATACCTGCCTACCATTCCCCAACCCCACCCCATCCCACCGCTACTCCATTCACTCCCACTCCTCTCCTGCTGCAGGATGTAGATTGATGATGGTCGGCTAACAGGTCTTTTTCCTGGAACCTTGTCTTTGCCTGGGTGAGGACCTGGGTTCCTGAACCACAGCATACCAGGCTGCTCTAATCCCCAGGTGCAACTCTGAGGCAAGTGGCAAGGCAGTGTCCTTCAGGAACCCCTTGTAGGGGAGGTATGTGGAGTGGGTCTGTGGACTCCTTGATTTTGGAGCTTCCTGTGTTATAGGGGAGTGTCCTGTTTTGTTCAGGTCAGTCTGGGCTCTGGGTTCTCAGTCTCCTCATCACACTGGCTGTACCATCCATTGCAGTGACTGTTATCTGATGCTGCTTCTGAGTCTTATAATTTTGGCTTTGAGAACCTTGCTCCCCATCAGTGTCAGCAGAGAAATTTTCTGGTGGTGACAGACTCCAGTATATGGTTGGTGCAGTTCTTCTCATCACCTTTCATGGGGTAATATATTTTTAACTGTTATTATAGGAATACTTAGTTTTCTCCCTATTTTTTAAAATTTAATTACTTTATTTGTATATATTTTACATCGGGTGTAGTCCCCATAGAATTTCCACCACCAGCTCACCCCTGCACCATCACCTCAGTCTGTTTGTACCTTCTCCCTCCGCTGCAGTGTGTCTCTGATTTATAATTGTCTGATTATTTTTGTTTACTTTTGCTGTATTGGGTTTTTTTTTAATTGTTGTTATTTTTCTCCTTCATCCCTTATTTGGTTTACCTATATTCCTTCTATAAATGAAGCCACCCAATATTTTTCTTTTTGAATTATTTCACTGAGCCTAATCCTTTCTTACTCCATCCATGTTGCTGAAAATGGCATTAGATTATATTAAATTATCTTTTTTTTTCTGAACAGTATTCCATTGTGCATATGTACCATATATATATATTTAAGATTTATTCCTTTATGCATACAGAACTGGGGCACAGGCCAGAGGTTCAGAGGCAGTGAGAGGATTCACTAGAGACAGAGTGGGGAGCAGAACAGGCACATTGATGAAGTACACTGCTCAGGGAGCAACAGGCGAGACATGAGAGGTCTGCTGCACCATGTGGATCACCTCCAGGGCTGGGGATCAAACTTGTGCTGAGGCTGCCACAACTAGCTTTGAAGTGCTGTGCTTTAACCCATTGCGCCACAAGGGAGGGCCTCGTATCATATCTTCTGAACCAGTCATCTATTTTTGGGCATTTAGGTTGTTTCCAAGTTTTATCATTTATAAATAGTGCTGAGTAAACATAGGGGTGCATGTATCCTTTTGAATTCATATTTTTGTGTTGTCTCCCTATTTATTTTTATTTTCCTCTAGGTACTATTGGTTACATAAGACAAGTAAATATCTAATTAGAAGTGGTTCCTTCCATTGATTTATAATTTCTAAAATCTTATCATTGTATTTGTGTTGAGAGGAAAATTACAAAGATCACATCTTATCACTGGTACCATTCCGTGGAGATTCAGTAGTATTTTTAGGCATGTGTAATCAGTTTCCTTTTTAGATCTTGAAAATAAAGCTAAATAAACCAAACACACAAACACACATACTATAACTCTGAGAGATAATAAATGAATTAAATTGTGATACTATATTGGGTATTTTATTATATTCTGTCAATTTCTGAATAGGTCTCAGTGTCAGATATTAAAACATTGTATAGCTATACTCCCCAGTGATTTTGAAGTATAGGTATTATGATTAAACACATAGGTTATGCTGTCAGATGACCTTATAACTTGGCCACCTTATAAAAGCTGTTCAACCTCCGTGTATCTTATTTGTATGTAAAGTGGAAATATTATTTAAAGGGTGGCAGGGATATACATATTTACAGACACAGTCTGTATGCTTATGATATGTCTAGTATTATTTTAGCTATATGTACATGGTATATGAACTCTAGCCATGGGAATTCCTTAAGAGACATCTTTATTTAAAAGATCTGGCTTTAGGATCAGGTACAATACCCAGGCTCAGATTTCCCTCAAGATATCCTGCTTCAGGTGAGCAGGGGGAGAAAGAAGGAATAGTATAGTTTGGAAAAACTCCCTTGATTTCAAGGTTGTTCTGATTCCATCTAGATTTTTCCTACCTGCCCGATAATAATCAGCATATTTGGCCTTTATTTCCTAGCCTTACTCACTTCACCTGTTAAACCTTCATTACTTGACTTAATACTGTTGTCTTCTAGTTCTGTCCTTGAAAGAGCTATTGATACCATGTTGTTGACTGGCCCTTACTGTGTGGCTTGGGTAGCAATATGAACCTGGGAATTAGTGTCTTCCTTGAATCCGTAGGCTGCAGTCATCCTTTATCTTCCCAGTTACTTTAAAAGTCTTATTTGCTAAGTCTTTTTTTTTTTTTTCAATTTTTCCATTTGTTTCTAGTCCATTTGTTTTCTCTTCCACAATCTGATTTTTCACATATGTGACAGACCACATAACTGTAACTTACTAAGATTTACCTGTAATAATTTACTGACAGTAATTATCACTTGGCTTATGGGGAACTAATATTAGCTGTTATTCATTAGTAGTGTTCATCTATCTTCTCTAAAGTAGAATTCAGAGGGAACACAACTGAGATCCAGATGCTTATTTTTTTCAACTGCATTTGTTTTATTTTAACAATGGCTATAAAATACAAGCCCCACATCTGTGTGCTTTCAAATTAGATTGAGTCATATCATTTGTGTAGCTAACTCTTTCTTCAATAAATGAGATTAACAGCCTTGCACAAACTGGGTTTTATGATGTTATGACTAAAATTTGTGAAAATTAATTTAAACTGTAAAACTTGCTAAAAATGCTTCCATGTATTTTTGCCAGCACTTGGTTTTATTTTGTATTGTCAGCCTATGAACCCTCAAAAATTAATTATAGATGTCTTGTTTATGTAGTACATAAACTATAAACTATTAAAAGTTCTTGTAGTAATCCTGTCACAGGTTTAAGACCAAGGTGACTTTTAGTTGAGGATTTTTCCTTCCTTTCTATAGAAAAAAGGTAAAAACATGATTATAATCATGAGTTTTAGCATTTATAGACTAGCATGTTGATGACATTTCCCCTCAAATATAAAGTAAGCATTGTGAATTAAATTATATCCTCCACCCCCAATAAAGTTGTGTTAATGTGGCACTTTGTAAACTTTTTCCTAGCCATATGGCACCAAGTTAATTATCTTGGAGTTCGGTGTTGGGCATTTCTTTATGTACCTTATTATTCAATACAGGTTCTGACACAATGTTCATGTTTTGTTGAACATAAGGGAGTTGCACTTGAAATGTATAACTCACATTGTCAACATGACTTGTTGAATGCTAAAGTTGTAAATGATGCAAAATATCCTGATTTTCTCACTTTTATTTTGTAATCTCAATAGGACGATACAAGCTCCAGCTCAAGTTCCAGTGGTCGTGTCCCCTGGAAATCAGCAGTTGCATACAGTAACACTCCAGACAGTGCCAATCACAACAGTTATAGCCAGCACAGATCCCACATCAGGTGCCGGGTCACAGAAGTTTATTTTACAAGCCATTCCATCATCATCACAGCCCATGACAGTACTGAAAGAAAATGTCATGCTCCAGTCGCAGAAGCCGGGCTCTCCTCCTTCGATCGTCTTTAGCCCTGCCCACGTGCAGCAGGTTCTTCCTAGCAGCGTGCAGTCCATCTGCAATGGAACTGTTAGTGTAGCCTCATCTCCATCCTTCAATGCTACTACGCCGGTAGTGACCTTTTCTCCTCGCAGTTCACAACTTGTTGCTCACCCACCTGGCACTGTAATCACTTCAGTTATCAAAGCTCAAGAAACAAAAACTCTTACACAGGAAGTAGTGAAAAAGGAGGTTGATGATACTTTACAAGAAGACACTGAGAAAACAGAGCAGCAACCACAGCCTTATGTGATGATGGTGTCCAATTCCAACGGGTTTACCTCTCAGGTAGCTATGAAACAGAATGAACTGCTGGAACCCAACTCCTTTTAATTAACATACCAAAGGAATTACTGATGATCATTTTTTAATTGAACATTTTCAGTTGTACGCAAACTATCTGATTGATTCTAAGATAAATTCTACAGAGGCTCCTAATTTTGTAGCTAGATGTTAAAAAATAATAATTCAGAGTTAATTTTGACTTTGTTAAATGAGGAAGGAAAACCCAAGTGTTTCTGTTTTCCAAATGTTTCAGAATTCAATTGTGAAGGAACAGGCATTTTATACTATGAAGGCCGTCTTTTGAGATTTTTTTCACTTGCTATTACCTAAGCATTTTTAAAGTTTCTTTTTTTAATTTTACATGTATTCATTTTTCTGATTTTTTTGTAAATATAGTTCTTAAATATGAGACAACAGGAAATTTATATAGGAACTATTTCATTCCATTTATGTAAGTTAAGTCTTGACTCTGAAGTGCAAGATACCATTTAGTGCTTTGTTAAATGATTTCACTTAGATTGACTTTAGTTGGCTGCACTGTATAATGAACTATGAATATTTAAAATATAACATTAAAATTTGAAATCTACCTATGAGAAGGCTGACCCTGATTTCAGGAGCAAGATTAGTATAAAAGCATCAGCCTATGAATGGCTCTCCTATTAACTGGGTTTTGTAGCCTTCTCAAGCCATTTGATCTCTCATTTGACTCAGCGCCCTCATAAGAAAAAAGGATGCACTGGATTAGCTAAGTGATCTCAAATAAACTTTCAGGTTCTAAATTTTATTATTCTAACCCCTATATTTTAAATTAGTATCAATTAAAACATCAGCTTTTTTCAAAATGTAAATATAACTAAAATATTGAAGAAGTGGCCCCACAAAATTCATTCTACTGTTAGCCATAAGATCTGCATCAAATCTGAATTATTTCTGCTTTCTTCATGAAATTTTTTGACTACTGTGGTCTGATAGTAAATTTATGTTGCCAATTGCTAAATAGTGTATTGCTGTTCTGAGAGTCAAGACTCAGAGAGCAACCAAGCTTTGGGCTAATCTGACTGACGAGTCAGTTGTTATAAAGAGCATATTCACTTTTTATTTTGGATTTTTTATTGGGGATGGAGGGGGGGAAATTGCATACAAAAATATACATATATATCCACGTTTCTGAGATAAAATAGTTTTTAGATTACTTTTTCAACTGTAAATAATGTACATTTAATTTCACAAGAAAAATTGTTCTCTGCAAATTTTCTAGTACAGCAAAGAGATTTTTGTAGAAGAAAAAATTATGTTTAGAGGTCTAGTGTTGTTATATGTTTTCCTAATACAGAGTGAATTTGTATTTAAACAAAAGTTTAAATTTTGGAATCCTCTAAACATTTTGTATCTCTTAATTGGTTTATTATTAAATAAATCATGTAAAATCTCAATGTTTTCTGTTTTGAAGCAAATGTTTCTTTAAAAAAGCATACAGAAAATGCTGGTAGTATTTACCATGTTATTAGATGGTTATATAACAAAGTCCTTTCGCTAGAATTACAGAATGTTAGCCTCTCACTACCCTTCCTACCATGACAAATGCCAAGCTCCAAAAATTAGAAAAATATTCTTAATATTAAACACACTTTTAAAAGATTTATTTATGCATACAAAAACTGGGGTATAGGCCGAGGTGTAGGGGGTAAGAGGTTCACCAGACGCAGAGTGGGGTGCAGAATAGGCAGATATGAATGAAATACACTGCTGAGGGGAGCAGCAGACAAGACAGGAGAGGCCTGCTGTGCCATGTGGGTCAGCATCCTCCTTGGGGATCAGATATCCTGCAGTGCCTGGGATAACTTCACTGTGTTGCATTTTAACCCCTTGTGCCACCACAAAGGCCCTAAACACACTTTTAAAACTAAGTTTTCTAATTAGAAATTCAACCAGTTAATTGTTAAATTTAGAAAATACAGAAACTGAAAAATACAAGAAAATGAAAATCTTAATACTCTAGTACTAACTTACACTTAACCACATTCTTACATGGCTAGTATGCTAAAATATCATTATAATAGATCAAATAATATTAGTATAATTCAGTTAAAGAAACCTTTTTAACTAGGTAAGTTCTGTCGTTTTTCACTTCGTGAACAGCAGTGAACATATAATATGTACTTCTTAAAAATATTAAGGATCTTGTAATATTGCATATGAATTATCCTTATAAGGGGTTTTAAACTAATTATGTGTCATTACTTACACTTTAGTTTTTTTTATTTTCATTTTACTTTAGCATAAAATGTACCCTGAGCATAAGAATTTTTAGAGATGCTTTCATTCAAAGTTATTGGAATAGTGTACATTTAATTACCATGAAAATTGAAGATGTAAAGATTGAAGCCTAGATAGTATATAATAAGGCTTAAAACTTAATGAATCTTGAAACTTTATTTTTCAAAAGCTTAATACAATTAAGTCTTTAAGACTATCACCTAATAAGATTCCTATTCCCCATTAGAATGTCTCATTTATCCATATATTCCTTTTAATATCTGTTGCCACCCTCCTAATTTTAGTACTTACATTTTTCTGTTACTCATGTAGTGAATATTGAGTGTCTACTCTGTGCCAGGTACGATTCTTGGTGTTAGTAATTGATCAGTGACAAATAAAAGTTCTTAACCTTCTCAAAAATTGTATTTTGTAAACTAGCCATCCAAGAGACTTCCACTTGTGAGCTCTCATTCAGTTTATCATGCAACAGATTACAGAATACCCTTGAATTACACAATGTCCAAACTCAGAAATTCTTAAGGTCTTTCTGTTACCTATAGAATAAATTCTAAATCTTTAGCTTAATATTCAATATTTAGCTTAATATTTAGCTTAATATTTCTTCATCATCTACTTTGGAATTAATGTTAATCTTAAAACACACATTTCTTCGTGTTACCCTTATTTAATAAATTTATCTCTCATGTGAAGGTCTATAATTTTCATTCTAACCAATAGTGTATGGTTCTTGAGACTCCTAGTATCAAAGTGGCAGCAATCTCAACATTATTTAAAAACTTATTAGAATGCAGACTCTCAGATGCCACTCCTGACTAATGAATCAGGATCATGTACAAGGTGGAAATTAAGTCCTGGATGACTTTACTGTACATGTGAAAATTTAAGATTTAACTTTCTAGCCCCAAACTCCCCCTTTTAACATTTTATGTCACCATTTTCTTTGTTCATTCACTGAATCAACATTTATTGGACTGGGTATCAAAAACATCTATGCATAGTCCTTGACTTTGGCGTACAAAGCTGTAAGAAACATACCCTCCAGAGACACAGGGGCAAGTCAGTGAGGCTGCTTACTGCTATAGGCAACCAGCCAGTGTTCCCCACAGCCATGAAGACCAAAGGGATAAATATTTTTTGTATACCTACAACTCATTCATGGTTCATTAGCTAGCTAGGGAGCTCTACTATATATTCTGGTACTTATAAAGATTTCATTTTAATTTCTGCCCATTACATCTACGCTCCTTTGATAACGTTTTCCAACTCCATGGCTCAGTCACATCTGACATCCATATCCAATCAGTGAGGAGGTCCAGGTAACTTTCTTCCTGAAAAAGTTCTTTTAAGTTTTCCTTTCCATTGTCATGATTCTGTCCTAGCTTAGGCCACTATTTCCTTTCTCCAGTATGCAAACTTAACAGTTTATAAGACCTAGCATGATATATCTATATTTTGTATTTTGACTGTGCAGTTCAGAACACACTACCCCCAATCACAGTAAGTTGACATTTTGTATTTGTTAAGCTGATTCTACAAATATTAAGTGCTTAAGGTATTCTCAGACCTCTTCCTTGCCCAAAGCATCAAGTCATAAGACCTTAATAATGAGTGGTGGCCTTACTACACCTGGAGCAAAGGACAGTCTTATCTCTTAGACAGAGGGCTTCTGAGAGGAATCTGAATGAACAGGTCTTGTTAAATTCCCCCATACATTACCTTTAGATCGAGACCTTTTGTCTTTTTTTTTTTTTTATCTTTTTCTTTTTTTTATCTGAGTTTTCATTTTCTTATAAAGGCCCTCATATCATACAAAGCTTAAATACATTTATATGTTTTCTCCTTTATATTTTTCAGTATGATTTTTAGGCCTAGCTAGGGACCCTTTGAGGAAATGAAACTTTATATGTAACTTTATATACTCTAGCCATTCATCCCCTCGCATAATTTCATACAGAACTCAATAGCAGCATAGCACTTTCAATCATTGACTCAACACATATGACAAGAAAGACCTGTGGTGTTATTCCCACTATTCTTCAGCTATAAAGAATAGCTGCTACTTCCCACTCATTCTTTAACCTTCTATAGTATTGCCTTTGTCCTAAATTTGTTGCCGAGGTCTACTAGTAATCAGTTTCCAAATTGCCAGAGTTCCATCCTTCTGTACTTGGATCTCTCATTTTGATAATATTTTGTAACCCACTTTTTCTTTAAACTCCCTATTGCCTTCACTTTTGTGTTCAACTCTTTCCTGTCCTCATTTTATCATTTCTTAATATTTTTCTAGGTTGCTCCAAAGACTTTTTAAATGTC